CTCCATCTTCATCAGCAACTCAGAACCTCTGTTACTGAACCAATACTCTACAACCAATAAACAAAACAAAAACATTCCCAGCAGTAACTCTGCAGCAGCAAAAAAGCAATAACTAGCATCTGCCCAAACCCAGAAATGATGTTTGAGCAAAAAACCATCCATCCTCAATCACCAGCCCACCTCAGCAGAGACACTTCCTGACTTGCTGCAAATTGGTGGTCAACTCATGCACTGGTTGGCAAGAAATTGCACACCATATCATATGCTAGCATCCCCCAAGTTGGTGAGCAACCAACAAGAAAAAGGAGAGAACAACCAGACAGAGAAAAATAGAGAAAAAACCAGGACAACCCACCATTGAACAACAGGAGTATAGGATATGCCACAACAATGAAGCACTAACTCAGCCACCATTCCTGATGCCATATTGCACTTGTTGCAGATTAAACACAATGTCATTAACAGAGAACACCACAGTCATTGAAGAAGCCTTTATCCACATTGCTACTCTCACCTTAACAATATCACACAATTCATCCAGCTTGGTTGAATGCCATTGAACACAGACTCATTTCTATGCTTCCGAGTGGACTAGAGAATGGCTAGAGGTATAACTGCCCAAATTTTCTTTTCCAACTTTTTCATTCTATGCCCAGACCACCACTGCAGCAATCTATTTACAGAACCAGGCAAAACCCACTGAAGACCCCACTATTTTACAATGTTTGACCAAAGCCTCCATACAAAAGGGCAAAAAAAAAGAATGTGATCCACTGTTTCTACCTCACTTTGACAAAACACACAAACAATAATAGCATTCCCATCAAGGATACCAACTCCTTCCAGAAAGCTAGAAGTTTTAACCTTACCTTGCAACCACCCAAAAAATTGCACATTGAGTGGAGCACAATTATTCCAAATTGTTCTTGCCATGTCCAGATTAGGCCCAAGGAAAGACTCACACCAATTATAAGTTGAAGAAACACTAAACATCCTTGATGTGTCTGCCGCCCATATCAATTCATCCGTTTTAGTGCTACAGGTGTAGGTACATTACTAAGTAGAGTGTAAAGTCTACTTACTTCATGCTTCTTCCAAGCCATCAATGCTCTTCTGAATCCCACTTTCCAACTTCCAACTTCTCTCCTTCTCTGAAAGAATGTATTTACCACACCATGCTTGTTAGTGGATATGTAAACAAAATATCAAATTTGAAACGACTGGTGAAAGACGAATTATTTGTAACAACATGAGAAGATTAATACATGAACAAGAGTTTTTTAAAAACAGTAGTTTTGTACAGCAGTGCAGTAACATCAATATAACTTATTGGTCCTTATTTAACGTAATATTATTATAATAACCCAATAAAATTATTAAAACGAACGTAGAAACACGCAAAAATATCTCACGGATTTCATAGACTTACCAATGCTTCACTTTCATAAGTAGAGGCATAATCACATTGATTAAGCATAAATAACATTCTAGACATTCTATTAACACTATCATTCAGAACTAATTTCATTTGAAAATTCATAAATTATAATAAATAGACACTTCTTATTCTATTACACATAATGTTTCGCATAGAATCAATGACTATATGAGTTGCATAACATTTTATCTAATTTAAGTCTCGAATATTTTTTCAACAAGAAATTATGATATCAGAATCTTCAGAGAAATTTTGCTTTTATCGAATTTATTTTGAATACATATATCTTAGTGTCTTCATTTATAAATAAAATTGCACGTGTAATTATCTTTTTAGCCTACAAAATGATGGGGTGATTATAAAAAGTGACGGTTAAAGTTAAGGTAATTTTGAAATTTAAATTTAAAAATTATTCTCTTAGTCTGAAAATAAGAATTTGTGTAAATTTGTAATCCCAATTATTTAATTTGTAATAATCGAATCCTTAAAGCATAAAAAGTAAACATCAATTTGGTCCTCCAACCTAATTAGTTTCTGTTCGTCTCATATGAAAAATGACACCTTAAAAATGAGTTGAACACAATTCATATACTACTTAGCATTACCACAAACTCGATACATATATGATCGAAAGACACTTATAAAGTTACCATAATGTTATAAGAAGGCTTACAATGAATCATAATCGAACACACAACACTTTTAGCAATTAATCATCCTATCTACATAACAATGTATTATTACACATCCCTTAAAGAACACTCACATTTAATATAATTATGTCATTGTTACTATACAAGAATATCTCAACCACACAGATCATTAGTAACAAAATTTACCACTAAGATTAGGTATGATCAACACTTCTATATGACAGAACTAGAGTTACACCGGTAATATATCTTCGCGGACTTCCAACCTACTCATGATTCGCGCATAGTGAGCTTATCTTACATAGCGTACACTATCCGATGGATAGATCTCAAATACAAATAAAAACTCACATATACGACTTACATAAGGAGAAGTACGGTCTTGACTATACTGTCTGAGGCATTGTTAGTCTTTTGACGCACTTATCAGTGTTGCATAATTATATTCACACTGACAATTGGTGTCACTTATTGTAGGTCGGGTTCTCGGGGTCATGCTCGATAACGATGAGGGTGTTATTGCCAAGTCACATTTGAACTCACTTGCGTTTAATTGTCTGTCACAGTATTCGCGATCGAACGACTATACTATACATGCCAAGATGTGATGATCCCGGGGCATTCAGCTCACTTCTTCAGAAGCGCAGTAGTCATATAGGATACAGGGAAGACAAATCAATAGAGAAACTACCCTTGCGAGGACCTAGTTTTAGATAAGTGTCAAGCGATAAACAAGTTGAAGCGATTAAGCTACCTAAACGCTCAACCGTAACGCCGAGCTTCGCTTTATATTTGTGTGCTGGTGCAGAGTAGGAACCTTAATGCAAATGGACTGTATATAGATATCCGACCAAGAGCGTTAACTATATACATTTAATCCTCTATAATCCTTCTGCTCCATCAGGAATTCCTCGTATGCGATCGGATGGCTACGATACTTGCCTAGAAGGTCGATCATATGTCCCTTACACGCTAGTTGCGTGGTGGATCTACTGATCCTTAAGACAGTGTACTCGCTAGAACACTGATGCGTGAAAGAGCTGGTGGCTCCGTCTACACCTATAAAACGACAAGACGTCTGGGCTGATAGTATCTTTGTGGTGCTGAGAGGACTGTGAGGTAGACTATATAACTGAAATAGACTACTGTCTTATTATCGGATTAAAAGTATTGGATGGTTGGCTACGGTCTGTTGCGTGCCTCGAGTAACTCAAATCCTCTTTGTGGGTAGAAGTGGATTTGCACAAGAATAAAAAGGTGCAATCAAATCATAGGGGGTGGTAGTGGTCTACCAAGTTTGGCACTAGCCTCAGGGGTCCTGTCAGGCTATCTAACTATAGGATAGACTTTAACACTTCACAGTCTTGTCTAAATCAGATTTGCACAAACTATTACCTTAATAGTGCCATTGACTCATGTTGTTGGGAGATGGATAAGGCGCATGAACAACAATCTGGTGTCCTAAGTATTGGATTAAGTGGGGTCAGATACTTGAAAACGTGTTTGTGTTGGTATCGGACAAGCGCACGCGCACCAAAATTGGCATAGGCCCCTCATAGCCGAGTCCATGTTTTCTCTATCCAT